CCTAAACCCTCAACCCTAAGCCCAATTCTCCTAAACCCTAAACCAAACTGAGCGCCTGGAAAACTCGGTGATCTTCGAGACGTGGCTTTTCGTGGACTTCTCAGACTTCGGGGTGTCGTTGCCCACGTGCAGCTTCTTCTGGCGCGCGCGCGCAAGGGACACCATCGCCCCTATTATAGTCCCGGTACAATGATACAATAAGCTAGTAGCAGCTAGGGTTTAGGGTTTAGGGTACAGTCCCTGCACAATGATACAATAAGCTAGGGATAATATGCCCTTGCAGCAATTCCTTTGTGTTATCCTGTAGTACAGGCACAATACACTGCTGTTCGTCCCGATGCAACTATACCTAGGATTCTACCCCCCTACAGTCGCTATAATATATTGATGCTGTAATATACCCCCAAACATCCAGTCCAATACTAAGGCCAGGTCTTCATGGCTTGGAGCGTGGTGTGGCTTTTTCCTGGCTCGGGTGTTGGTCTTTTTGGGACTATTCGCACACCAAGCAATTCGAAGGATGATAATGAGGGCTTGGGGAGTAATAGTGCGGCCTTAAGCGTTTGAATGGGGTGTTGGGATACATTCCTGCAGATTTTTTCGGACTCAGACTCATCACCCAGACCCAAAAGGCAGGGTCATCGTCACCACCCGCAGGACCACGAAGACGCCGGAGGCCAGAACGGGGGGGGGGGAACATGGTCTCGGGGGCCTCAGCATTGTCCACCTCGTCCTTCATTCCAACGACGTCGTCCGGCGGCACAATGGGAGCCTGCAGGGTTTTAGGGCCCCGAAGCCCAAACAGCTGAAGGCCCCCAGGAGCCCCGAAGTCCCGATTCCCTAAAGACACACACAGGCAGAGGATGGCATGGTTGGATAGGGCTCAGGGCTATTTCTTCTCGCTTCCATCACGATCCGCTGGCCCTGCCGGCTGCTGAATAAGCAATCGTTGCTTCATGGAGCGATGTGAAACCAAAAGACCCCTGCCAACCCTAAACGCCACCATGATACAATGGTCAAACCCCCGATGCGTTTGAGGCACACTGGAGTCTCCAAGAAGTCCAGGCTTTTAGACCCCCAGGTCCTTCAAGTGCCTGAAACCACTCTAAGACCTTCTTCTTTCAAGCCTTTTATATAGAGACCTCATAACCTAAGCACCCGAACCCTCTCAACCCTACACTCTCCCAACCCTGCACCCTCGCAACCCTGAACCCTCTCAACCCTGCACCCTCTCAACCCTGAACCCTCTCAACCCTAAACCCTGAACCCTAAACCCTCAACCCTCTCCAGCAGAAGCCCTGAAGCCTCTCAAGTGCGACCGTGGCGCCGGGGGCGGCTCGTTGGCGATCTGAGGGCCCTTCAAGTCACCCCGGAAGCCCTGGAAAACGGGAAACCATGGGGCTTCCCCCCAGAAAAGGAACCCTACCTCGAGAACCCCATGAGGCCCTAAACCCTAAACCTAGAAAACCCCTAAACCTCTGAACCCCAAACCCTAAACCCCTAAACCCTAAACCCTAAATTCTAAAACCCCTGCCATAGAACCCCCGAATACCCTGCAGAGCTCTCTAAGGGGGCAAGAGGTCTTTATCAGGTTACCATGCAGGCTACTCTACGCGTTGCGGGTTAAGGGGCACCAGGACCCTAAACCCTTGACCCTAGACCCAAACCCCCCAGCCTGCGACATCCGCGTCATCATCTCCTCCAGCTTGGCCAAGCCTCACTGACTTCCGACTTCCGAATTCGAAGCTCAGAAGCTTTTTGGGGCGGAGCTTTTGTGAGGGCTCTACGCGGGAAGGCTGCAGCTTTTATGAAGGGTTTAGAGTGCTTATCATTGTTTCCAAGAGGACCTATGAAGGTTCCATGAAGGGTTTTCTTAGTCGTCTTGGTGTTGCCTGGGCTTTTTTCCGAGGGCTTTCGATGGGGCTCCATCGTACGGGCCAGCTACAGCTTTCACCAGGGTTTCAGACATTGGGTGCAACTTTTCAAGGGTACCTGTCGAAGGGGTTCCACTAAGTTGACTAGTTAGGGTAGATCCTAGTGTCCCTTGTTTCCTGAAACTCCCACTTCGGGTGGCTGGTGTAGTGGGGTAGGCAGAGACGGCTCTCTGTAAAGCATGAAACAACTGTTCACTGCTGCTGAGGTGTCGAAGGCTCCACGATTTGTCCCTTCGTAAGGTTACTGCCTTCCTATCTGCTTGGCTTCTCTCCCTCTTCGTAGGCATGAACACCCCTAAACCCTAAACCCTAGATACTCCTTGCAAAAAAACCACGAACCCGAATCCCTGAAACCTCGACCTGACAGAGCCCTCCGAAAGCAGTCGCGTGGCGCTCGTGGAGCTCCGGAACCATGGAGGCGAGCGCCACCTGACATCTTTTGTCGGGGAGCTTTCAAGAAGTGGGTAGTTCTCTATATTAGGGTCCCTTTTTTAGGGTCCTTTGTATAAGGGTGCCGTACCATTTTGGGGGCCCAAAAATAGGGAACTACCCAAGGACTAAGCCTAAGCAAGGGGCAACGGCCCAACTGTGCGGCTCAGGACTTGGATTCCTGGAGCGTCCTTTTTTCCCAAGGCCTTATCGAAGGAGGAGAGGGTTTGGGGGCGAAGGGTTTACGATTTCTAAGGGGCCGTCTCAGATAGAATTGAAACTATAGGATCAATTGAATCAATGTAAGCTCTTTGTTTCAAAAGACTCCTGAAAGGGACCCTTCATTGTCTGAAGCCCCATGTAGGATGCAGGGCTTGGGGTCTCAGGGCTGGATGGATTCAGGGCAAAAGGCTGCTTCCGAGGGGTACGGCTTCAGTTTAAGTGTTGGTCTTGGTGTTTGGGATTTAGGGTGTAGCAGGGCTCTTTCGGGCACGTAGGGGTGGAGGGTTCCTTGCATGCTCTGAACATGCGGCTCAGGGTGTGAGAACTACGGTCCAGGATCTGGGGGTGGAGGAGCTTCTGGCTACAAACACGATTCGAATTAAAGTACATGAGTGCATCGGAATCACTGCGCTGCGTGAAGGCATCTGGCTTGGTCAAGGGGTATTGGGCTGTCTTGCCAGCTACAACGCCATAGTTACTAGACCAGACTACACTTCCGTCTCCTCCACTCCACTCCACGCGCTCGACTCCGCTAGCCTTACTCGTGTTTTGAGGGGGCGCTATAACCTTCTACCCCACGGCCGGCGCACCGTCTCCTCCAGCTCATCGAAGCGCGCGTCTATGGCATGGAGGATGTCGGGCCTTTGTGCAGAGGACAATAACAGAGCGAAGGATGCCACATATACATAATACATATTTATATATGTATGTGTGTATATATATATATATGCGTGTGCATATGTGTGTATACATATTTGTATGTATACATGTATGTATGTATGTATGTATGTACGTACGTACGTACGTATGTATGTATGTATGTATGTATGTATGTGTATACATATATATATATATGATATATATATATATATATATGATATATGATATATGATATGATAAAAAGTACGCATGCTGTTATTGATATTTTGCATGTCTGGTTTTCCTGTACGTATCTTTCATGCTGGTTGAATATGCAGCTTGGCAACCTGAATGTTGGCACTAAAGTCGTGACGATTGGATCGACAATCGACAAGACTGGACCTAGGAAAGAACAGCACACGCAGCAATGCTCTTCGTGTGCATGCCGAAACAATTGCATGCTGGTCTAGGCACGCCCACCCGGCAGTTGCCTTGCGGAGGAGGCTCAACAGCATTAACTTCCCAAAATCCAGAAAACTTCCAGACCTTCAATGCTAAACACTGCACAGTAAAGCCTGAGCACCAAATCCGACTGAACCTTCGCCGAGAACCGGAACCCGAACCCTGGAAACCTGAAGCCTCTAAGCCTCAAACACATGGAAACAAAACGCGGTTTAGGGTTTAGGGAGGGTTTAGGATTGTCAAGACAGCTCAAGCCCAAAAGAAACCCTAAACCCGCTAAAACCCTGAGAAGAACCGTTACAAAAGCCATGCGAGCAAACCCGAGCCAGGCGGCTCTTGTGAGAAGGTGGTTTGCTTCCTGAACTTGGCCATGGCTCGAAGAGGCACCGCCCGGCACCTGGGAAGTGCTGAGTATGTATGTATGGCGTGGCTGCACCCTGCCCCGAAGGTGGGATAACAGCCGAAGGGGCTTCCGAACTGTATATTGTAGCGTAGTAAAGTACGTGGTACTATTAAACCGCGGTAGATTGGATTCTACGCAGCTGGTGCTGACAAGAGCGTCAGTGCTGACATCAGTGGTATGAGTAAAAAGCTGGCAGAATCTTGATCTGGGGGAGGAATGAGTCCTGGCTGCATGAAGCAACTTGCCAGTCATGCACAGAACTGGCTGCCAGCCAGACGCAGCAGGGCGTGGCAGGCTTCTTTTGGGTGCTTTGAAACGGACCGGGCACCTGCTGATAGCATAAGGCAGGCGGGACCTGGTGTTGCGATCATGACGATGACAGCAAGACGACGACCACGACAGACTGAAAACTCCGGCTTCTGCTCGAGCATGGTTTGACGCCGCAGTCATGCTGGCATCATAGTCTTGCTCCTGCTCCTCAAACTCAAGAGGCAGAAGGCTAGTGTTCGTAGTACTTGTCGTAGCATTACACAGTATCAATGATAGCCAGTGCTCTTGATTCTTCCAACGAGTATTTCACTGAGATCAAAAACCCCACTCCATGGAGTCTCATACAAGAGCCTTCTTGATGAGAATCGGGCTTCACAAGGTTGTTGGGGTTTGATAAGGATTGCACATGTTTTCTGATAGTTAACAGTTCACTTCATGGTCTTGGGATGCATACAGACGGATGTCAGATGCAAACAGGCTTTGCGACTACATCATTTAACGATGCAGGGCCCGTAAAGGTGGACTTATACCCTAAACCCTAAACCCTATAAACCCTATAAACCCTATAAACCCTATAAACCCTGTAAACCCTATAAACCCTATAAACCCTATAAACCCTAATGCCCATTGCCCCGATCCTCCCGCTGCCAAACCTTCAACCGTTGCTTCGCACCTCGTAGCTGCCTGCCCGCAGGGCCCTCCAAGCAGCTGCAGAGTAGGTGAAATGGCGTTGGAGCTTTCGCTGATGGGGCTTGGGGTTTAGGGCTTAGGGTTTAGGGCTTAGGGTTTAGGGTTTAGGGTTTAGAGTTCAGGGTTTAGTGTTTAGGGTGTAGGGTTTAGGGTTCAGGGTTTAGGGTTCAGGGTTTAGGGTTTGGGGCTTGGGGCTGTCACGCATTGCCCCTGGCACTTCCGAAAGGATCAACACTGGTGGCACCGGGACTGCTATACTAAGTTATGGCTAGCACTGCAGACATTTCCAATTTCCATCTGCTCCTCCTCCCCGTCCTTTAGCCGGTAGCTGTCACATCACCGTCATACCGATGACACTGCTGTTTTCAACAGTATCACGCAGTGCCCACGATGAGAGAGAAGCATACCACAATGCCCATAATCATAGTTTAAGCCCTAAACCCTCAACCCAATCATAGTTTAAGTTACTTTAGACGGCAAAAAAGGAAGTGGTCCCATCGACCAAAGGAGACCTGCCTGAGGACCAAGGAGAGAAGCGGCAGACGGATGTGCCGCCTGGGTCTCAGAGGGTTCACCGGGGGAAGCCAAGAGAACGTGAGGGCTTTCGGGTCCGCTGAGGTTCTGCTTAGGGTGTCGGGTTTAGGGCTTCGGTCTTAGGGTTTTTTGGGTTTAGGGTTTAGGGTCTACGGGACTGCGTGTGCCCTCGACATCACAGAAAGCTGCGAAGGACCAGGACGGGTGGCCAAGTTTGAGGCTGAAGGTTGAAGGCCTTCGAATGAGGGATGTAAGTTTCGGAGCGAGTGAGGTAATTTAGAGTTTAGGGTTTAGGGTTTGGGGTTTAGGGTTTTAGGGTTTAGGGGTTTAGGGTTTAGGGTTTAGGAGTTTAGGGTTTAGGGTACTGGTCTCAAGAAGCCAGCACGCCATCCTGTTCTCGAGACAGCCACTCAACAGAGCGAGGCTTACAAGTCTGGCAGGACAGCCCCCGATCAAACCCCTAAGAACCCCCCCAAGCCCCCCAAAACCAAAACCCTGAAACCCGTAACCCCAAAACCCTCAAAACCCCCAAGCCCCCAAAACCAAAATCCTGAAACCCACAGCCCCAAAGCCCTAAAAACCCCCAAGCCCCCCAAACACAACCCCGAAGCCCTCAAAACCCAGACTCAAAAGTCACTCTCAGGAGGCCACGGGGCATCATCATGCAGGAAGATGGTGAAGTCCTCGTTGGGGCGAAGCGCGAGGTTTAGGGCTTTTAGGGTTTAGGGCTTAGGGTTTTAGGGCGATGGGTTTTAGGGTTTAGGGCTTTAGGGTCTAGGGCTTCGCGAGCCCCAAAAACCCTCAAAGACTCGAAGCTCCCAAGACCGAAACCCTCAAAGACTGCCAAAACAGCAAGAATGCATCAGAACGAGAGCAAGGCTCATGCTCATCATAATCACCATCTTTACACTATGCAATAGACCCTCGCAACAAAATCGCTAGATATGCTGAAAACCCTAAAGAAATCAATCAGATGCAGATGACTGCCGAAAAGAAAAGGCACTCTAACTCTAATATCTCTTGCTTGGGGAGGCCCTTCCTACGGATATCCCCGCTGTAGTTTCAGGAATCTCCAGGCCCTAAACTGCGCGGAATCCCGGCGATCGTTGCGTAGCTTCTGAGCCTCCAGCAGCAGGCTGTACGCCTTTGGTCAAGTGTGCCAAGTACCTGCGAATTCCCCTTAAACAAGCTTCGAATATATTGGGTCCTAAATCATTAGAATAGGGGTTGTGGGGTATACTGTCGCAGCGTGGCATAAACATAAAAAGGAACCTTAAGAATACTAGTTGCTAGTTACTCCGGCCGAAGCGGTCAGAGTTTCCCTCTTCCGAACCTCCTCTCCGGGAAGCTCTTTCTCTCCTCTTGCTGTAATCCCCTCCCCAGTGAGCGGCTTGATACCACCGCCGGCCCAGTCCCCAAAAAGAATTGCGAATTGGGCGCTCTTCATCTGCGACTGGGCCGAGGCGGACGACGCCAAGCGTTTGCAATTCTTCAGGCTGGGCTTCTACATTATCTAGGTCTCCCAACTCCTTCCATGAAGGTTACATGAGGTGTTTAAGAGGGCTTTACACGAGGAGTCGGTTCAATCTTTCACAAGGCTTTGTCGTTCTAATTAATGGGAATGCTTGGCAGGTCCAGGGCATTTCGGGCTTACGGGGCTGCAGGCCCGCTAAACCCTAAACTTTAAACCCTAAACCCTAAACCCGAAACCCTGAATTAGCCCAACCTAAGCCTTCGGGTCACGGACGGTGAAGGGAAGTAGGGTCCAGGGTTCGTGGTTGCTTGTTGATGGCTAGCAAAGACCACCAAAGAGAACGACGGTCCAGGGCTAAGTCACGACGAAGCTTTCGTGGGCAAGTTTGGAAGGCCCTGCAAAAATCTCGCAACAATGACTTCAGAAATCCTGGCCTTCAGCCGAGGTTTAACGTCCCTCAACCCGAACCCCTAAAAAAAGCCTAGACCATGAACTTCAAAAAAAGAGCCTAAACCATGAACTTCAAAAAAAACCTAAACCATGAACTTTAAAAAAAAAAGCCTAAACATGCCTAGACCATGAACTTCAACAAAAAAAAGTGCCAAGAGCCAAGACCCTGGACTCACACATTGCGGGGCACGCGGTGCACTCGCCGGTCATAACCTCATCGGAAGCCTGTCGGGCTCAGGGCTCTGGGGAGTCTAAGCGCTTTACTCTTTTGGAAAAGGCTTTTGGGAGACATCATTTAGGGTTTAGGGTTTAGGGATACATCATGTAGGGTTTAGGGTTTAGGGTGTAGGGTTTTGGGATACATCATTTAGGGTTTAAGGTTTAGGGTTTTAGGATACATCGTCGTGTAGTTTTAACAAATCCAAAGAAACCCAACTCCGCAAGTTGACGGGCACACTTTCCCGGGCTACTCAGGACGATAGGCCGCCTCGGCCACCTGATGATACTCCAGGGAGGAGAGGATGCCCTCCAGGCCGGACCTTTGTTCCGGAAGGTCGGGTGCTTTTTTTTTTTGGTGGTGCTGGTGGTGGTGGCAGAAGTCCAAGACGACAGGGGCATGTGCTGATGATGATGGTGATGGTGATGGTGCTGGCCATGGCGTTCAAGGTGTGTGACTCCAGCTCTGGTTACGATGTGTCGGTGGCCGCTCCTTAGACGACTGGGACGGCCGCGTCTGGTCCCGGAAGTCTGCAAGCCCACGGTTACACCTGGCACAGCTACAGGGCTGCCACAGGTCATCCACAAAGGTTCTTATGAGCTTGTACAGAGGCTCTGCAAGAGCTTTAGAGGAGTTTCTGCGAGTCGCCTGGAACTCTTCTAAAGCGGGTGCTTTTGAAGGCAGAGTCGTAGATACCGTAGTAGCAGCGCGGATCAAAACAAAAAACTGGCAGAAATTGAAACGACGAATGCTCAGTGACAGCCGCAGTCTTGCACATGATAGAAACAGCATAAACAAGAAGTGACAGCGACAGTCAGAATGAACACAGCCAAAAGCGTAACGAGCATGAGCACTAGCTGCAGCAAGGGACACGGTAGTCTGAGATGTGTTTCTCTTCATTGCAAGCCCAAGAGAATGACCCTCGGCTGCGAAAGTGAGTCCCTGCGACATCTATGTCTTCAATATTGAGATTTGCATGTCCGCCGCTTCGGGAATCGAGTTGGTTTTGCAGACACAGGGGTGCGGGTGCACATGTGCTAGTGTGGATAGGACGCAGCTAAAGGATTTATCGGAACAGACTTTGGTGCTCTAGGGCTCGTGGCTGCCAGCAATGCGGACAACCCAAGTTCAGACATAACGCGCGAAGCTAAGAAGACATTCTGCTACAGATTTTCTGAACGTGCAGGCAAGTCCTGTCTCACGTCACGGTGAAAGCCAGAAAGCAGAGAGAGAGAGACCTAGGGCTAGAGCGAGAGGAAACCAAAGGCATAGATAGACACACAGATATGCAGTTCGATAGATAGACAGATGGGTAGGCAGACGAACAGATAGGTGGATGTTAGATAAGATGTGCAAGCGCAACGAACGATAGGATGAGATAACAGCAGAGATAGATGAACCGCTATAGGTATAGAGGCATCGACGAAGTAAAGCCTTAAAATCCTAAAGGTATTCATGCATGTAGACGTATAAGCATATTTTTTGCATGTATCTGTAGGCATGTGTAGGAATACATATATATGTGCATATATAATGTAGCAACAAACATACCAAGTCATTGAAAAGGGAGATGTGCAAATCTTTTATGACACCTTTCAGGAAGAGGTCACGGAATAGAGACGAAAATGGAGAGGAAAAGAGATGTAAATATACTGTCATAGCAGAAACATGTGTTTGGCAGGCGCGTGCCCACGGAGGCAAACACATGCCGACGTCTGCTTGTCATAGACGAAGATGCGGCTGCCGGCTGGGTAGTCCAGCCTTGTCTTGGTGCTTTGGACCCGGGCAAAATGGATTGAAACTTGGATTTCGGCTTACAGACCCTCGAAAACAGCTTTTTACTCCGACTGTCGTGACGAATTTCACGGCACTGAGGTATCCTGCCGAGACCTATGGACCCATATCGAGGGCACGTGTTGACCCCCCCCCGTCCCGAAATGCTCCAAGGGCGGCACTCCCAGAGCCACTGCAGGGGGGACTTGCACCTGGGGGGGGGCTGGTTTAGGGTCGAGGGGCCCAGGGTTTAGGGGTTTAGGGTCTAGTCGTTTAGGGTTTGGAATTTAGGGGTATAGGGGTTTAGGGGTTTAGGGGTTTAGGCAGAAAGCTGCAAAACCGGGCAAAACCCTAAGGCCTCGGCGTTCAGGGTCTGATCGATTTCAATGCTAACTGACGGTGTCCAGTTTACGATCTGCATGAAGGACTCGCAACTCCACGGTTTAGGGTTAGGGTTTAGGGTTTAGGGTTTGGGGTCTAGGGTTTAGGGTTAGGGTTTAGGGTTTAGGGCAATCGGACTCCCAACTCCACTAGCCCGCAATCAGGATGCTCCGACGAAGAGGCTTCTGCGGGGAAAGAGCTGGGTACAAGCTTCAGGCTTCCCTCCCTGCATGTCTGCGACTCAGGCACCGGGCGATGACTACATCGACCTGGTCGCAGGGAAGCAAGCCGAGCATGTCTTGAGATACGTGGGGGATGCTACAGACATTTCAGTTTTGCGAATGAAGACCACCTGCCTCGCAGGCCCAATATCCTCACCGGTGGCGAAGGCAACAGTGATGTAACAGCAACAGTATCAATATAAGTCGTACGATCTGCTTGTGATTTGGCTTTCGTGCTCGTAGCCGTACGCCTTCCAGGCTTCCTTTCATGCTCGCTGTGTCTTCCTATTACCGGCAGCAGCGGCGGCAGCAGCATGAGAAGAAGGCAGTAGCGGTAACCATGGGACGCTGTCCACGTGAGAGTACCCGAGGTATCAACACGACATCCCTCCGCTGTCAAATCCAAACCCGGCAAACTCGGCAAACCCTTCCATTCAGGCCCGCCACCCTGTCACTACTTCACCACACCGCGAGACCTTGAAGTATTACACAGAACCCTAGACATCTTGCAACCTGAGAAAAAGATGATGCCGAAACAGCACAAGAACCCTGTCCCAGCCGAAACCCTCGCAAATGAAACCTACAGCGAGAACACTGAAACACCAACCCCCTCAAATTCCGGACCCATAAAGCCTCTACATCTGGGAAAATCCTGCCCCTCCTCCCTCCCTTCCTTCCCCTCCCTCCCTCCGTCCCCTCCCCTCCCTCTCTCCCTCCCTCTCTGACGCGCGTGCGCACCGTCTTAGGGCGCCTGGGCGCCGCCAGGAGCTCCTGGAAACCGGCCCAGGCCTCCCGAAGCGGCCACCGAAAAACGCCAAGGCGGTACCGCAAAAAGTAGCAATGCTAAGACTACGGGGGTTTAGGGTTTAGGGTTTAGGGAGACTTAGAATCATCATCATCATCATCATGACCGTCACCATCATCACATCATCATGATGATAGTAGTAACGATACGAGTAGCCAGAAATAGTGACAATACTTAGACCCGAAAACCTTAAACCTAAACTCCAAACCTTTGAGCCCAAGCTCAACTTTAAGCCTGCTCTGGCCTAAAAGACCAGAAGCTGCTTAAGCCTAACTCTTGAACTTGTAGCCTGCAATTAATTTAGGGTTTAGGGTTTAAACATCCTCAACCCCAAAGCCTGGAAGCCTAAACCGTGAAACCTAAACCCTTGGCGGGGTGCTGGGTTCCCACTGACACAGATACTAACCCTAGTCCTAGTCCTAGTGCTAGCACTAATGCGAACACGACTAGGGCAAATGCTCATGCTAATGCTGATCCTAATACCAGGACAAATACTAGTACTTATACTTATACTAGTACTAGTACGAGTACTAGTACCAATACCGATACTAATGCTGATACTGATACTAATACTAATACTAATAATAATAATCATAATAATAATGATAACAATTACAATATACCTCGACAGGATGGTTCTGAACACACGAGAAATCTGGTGACGAGACACTCATCAAGAGCTTGACGGCTCAATCAAAACCTTTCCACGGATTCCTGACAGAACCCCGTCTAGAAAAGCGCCGCTGCCTTCAGCCCCTGAAGCTTCTTACAACTCCAAGCTGTCTCCCTTGCACCGTGGCCTCGCGGATAGGAAACATCTCCACCATGGTTTCAAACCTGGGGCCAGGATCACAGCACCTCCAAGCGACCTCCCATCTTCAACCTCGTCCGAGGCAGTGTCGCCATCATGCTCACCCACGCGACTACCGTCGTCCCGGCTACGCTGCACAACTCAACCGGTTTCGACCAGTCTCGATTGCAAGACGCGTCGAAGTACTCCAGTTCCAGCAGCTCGGATTTCGAGCTTACTGTGTAGCAGCGCATGTCCAAATCGAGTCTAAAGACATGTCGACACGATACGCAACGGCTCGATGTTGATTCCTTCCAGTCTTCGGAACATGTCGTGACAGCCAGCTTACGGTTTGTGACTTGCGAAGCCCCATCTGCAAGCCCGTGAGCACCTGAGCGGCGCACTGATCCGGCACCTGCGCAGCTGCAGCTCAACCCGAAGGGGTCAGGGGAGCGTTTCGGGATTTCGGTGTAAGATTGTAGATTGTAGGTTTTGGGTTTAGTGTTCAGTGTTCTGTTCAGGGTTTCGGCTTTGGGGAGGCTGCCCCCCTTTACGTTCGACAAACGCTGAAAAAATGTGGCCCTTGAGCTGTCTCTGTGGCCTTGCTTTAGGGTCACACTCATCAGCTTCATCCTGAATCCGAATGAACCCTCATGAAGCCTAAAGTCCCAAAGCGTCGTAAGCCGGTCTTAAGCCACCACCCGTAGTCTGGGACGGGCACCGTTCTTTGCAGTGTCTCGGCATAAAGCTGGGCTTCCTCAAAACACGGCAATTTCGTCATCTTCGTTTGCCACCTCTGAAGCCTTACCATAATATGAGCAAAACGGTTTTCTGTGTTACACAGTAGATACGCACAGACTCTGAGGCAATACGTATCGTCATGACTGGGTAGATTGCGGGCAACACCCTGATCGGTGCTATACACATCGCTGCGGCTAACTGGGAGCTCATGGCTGGGCCTCTCCTAGGCCCAAGACAGGATCGCCATAGACACCAGGTCCTTACCAATACTACAAACGGATCATCTTAAAGCAGGGCCCGGGTTTTTTTGTCTCAGCAAGGAAAGACGAGAAACACAAAAATAAGAGAGTCCTGGGCAAAGCTCATGGCCATGGCGTCTTGGCCAGCGAAGCTCAAGGCCTGACCGGAGGGGAACTGCAGGGATTTTTGGGGGCATCCGAAACCCTGCGCTTAGGTCTTGAGGTTTAGGTGCACCACGTTACCACAGCATGTACCAGCACAAACCCAAGCTGGCACTGCATATGACTTCACTCCCCAGTACTGGTCTCAACTCATGACAGTCCAGAGGCCCCTCAACCCAATCGGCACTCCCTGAAACCCCTAACTCCGCCCCACCCCCGCCCACAACCTCCAAAACCCCCCCAAACCGGCCAACCACCCAGAGCCTCGGCTACGAGCATCAGCGCCGAGGCCATCAGCCCCTGGCAGCTGTCGAACACCTGCACGAAGTGCCCCAAAAAAAGCCGTGGATGGTAAATTCACCCCGATAGGATGTGCTGGGGCGCATCCATGCCGTCTCCTAAGGACAAAATACATAGGATAGGCATTTCGCAAGCTTAGCTTTTTAGGTTGGGGTCGGTGATTCAGGGTGAGCGCCTGGGGTTTAGTAGCTAGGTCTCTCCGACAGAACAGCACTTACTCAGAGTGAGACGAAGTGCTGGAGCCTCCCGGCGCTGCTCCGGCGATGTGGCCAGCACCTCATTTTGGGGGAGCCTGCTGGCTCGACACCCCAAACACGTCAACGGTAGCCATGACTAGCCACCCTGATCGAAACCTTGACCTTAACACTGGCACTCCAAGTAACCCATCAAAAGAGAAACCTGAACCTTTTGCCTGAGAGACTTCAGGGATAGGGTATGTGGAGCTTTCGAAGGCTCAAGGATTCTGGGAGCTTTAGCTCATGGCTTTGAACGGGTACTACGAAGCCGCCCCGGGCAGGCAAAAGCTTCCGAGCAGCGGCGTTTGATCTTCAGATCTCACTGGGCTCCAGTCTTACCTTTGGTTAGTAAGGAATGGAGGAATGGGAACTATTATAAGTACCATTACTACCATTCTTCCATTCCCTACTAACCAAAGGTAGGCAGTTGGGCAGGGCTGCAAAGCTCGACACTGACGAGGCTTCTGAGAGAGAGAAAGGTCCCGGAGACTCCGATCTCCTCAAACTCACACACAGGATTCTGCAAGTAAACTCGGGTTCCTTAGCAAAGGGTTCTAAACATATGTATATATGTATATGTGCCAGAAAGTCGCAAGCTCGGAGTTTCGGGATCCAAAGCCCTAGCTCTGCTTCTTGCCGCGGCACCAACCACGACGCAGCCTCCAAGGGCGGAGGTGCCGTCCCCGACCTCAGGCGAATCGATGTGGGTTTAGGATTCAGGGAAACTCATGGTGGCAAGGTACGCATTGTTTAGCACAGCGCGTGACCTACGCAAGCACAGCCGTTCGGCTCGCCGCGCCTGTTCGTGTAGAAGGCGAGCAAGTGGCGCTGGAAGTCGTGCGCCAGAATCTGGCAACCAGCACTTTGAAGGCTGTCGCTCTCTGTTCCACATGCTTCGCTTTTGTCTGGATTCTGCCTTCCTTTGGTCCAGCCACCCCTCCGAGACAAACCTCTTTTGTCCATGTGCTTGGGCGCAACAGCCCCTGGCCATATAAGCCCGGTGCTTGGTCTTAGTCAGCCCAAAAAGCCGAAAGACCGAGGCACAATACGGCATTCCGAGCTCTGACACATATAGCCTTTCGCCTGCCAATCCCCAACTTCCCGTCGCGTTGCCTCAGCCTCTCCACAGCTGCCGCCCTGGCAAAGCGACACCTGTGCAGGGCACGTTTGAGCTTCGACTGTCGGTAGCCGAGCTTCTGCCTAGAGTTCAAGGCCCAGGACGGCGGCCTGCTGACGATAAGTCCACAAACAGCCGTGGAAGAATTCCTCGTCTCCTGGCACAGCGCTGCCGGCACGGCTCCGTCAACACGGCGCACCCACGCAGATCGGGTCCTTTGATGTCGGAATCCGTGTCGGAGCCAGCCGAGGTGTCGTCGACACTGGTCGTAAACACCTGCCGGTCACGGCTGAGCAAGAGCAGCCCTTCCTCTTAATCAAGCACGCGTCTTACTTCGGCAGGCTGAATGCCCAAATAGTTTCACCGATCGAACTGAAATACGGCTGAGGGCTCCACCACCTCGTCTCCATGCAGAACGAATGTATCCTGCCCAACAGCACACCCTACCCTGATCGCTGGAAGTCGTCCTTGAATCTGTTTCCATTGCCCACAGTATCCATCTTTCTTTCGGCCCCTGCAACATGCTGCTTCAAACGTGGTCCGGCTAGGGCCACATGTGATAACCTTGGCTGCATTGTGAATCGGTGCCCATGTCCTGGCCACGGCGCTCGAGCCTCAGATCTGCTCCTTGATGAGACAGCCGCACTTCGAATCAAGCCGTACTTCGGTTTTTTGAGGATGCGGGCCTCTCGTGCCGATCCACAGCAGCGCCGCCGTGGTCGGACGCATGGCAACAACCGCTGCATATAGGGATGAAGAAGCTAATTACTATCACAACACTATGAAGACCATGATCACACAGATATCATAGAGGAACTGGTAAGAGCGATGCAACTCGCAGCATCCTGAGCTTTGTGTGACTTTGCCACTCCTTCTCCAGAGATGGTTCCAATAAAAGAGACATGAACATCGAACTCTGGATATGTCGCAGGATTGGCATGACCCCTACAAACATGATCCCACATACCCCTTGACGAGTGAGCCCTCGCACACAAACCTTCTATTTTCAGAATCTATGGGCGTGAGTTGCCTACTGCCTCAGTGCTACCTCCAACCCCGAAGAAGTTCGAGTTTCACGTGCAATCAGAGTGGCATTTCGGCGCAGGCGCATGGCTGCGCCTCTAGATTGGGCTCTGCAGCCTAAGCAGATGAGCCCCTGCAGCGAACCAGAAAGCAACGGTGAAAACTTGCGCCATGGAGGCTGGCAAATGCAATGGACACGAGCTGGCAGTACATCGTGCGGTAGTTGACCATACCGGTGTGCATGCCATGACCTGTGGACCTGTAGTTCTGCGCGTGCTACTTGTCTGACTGACGGATGACACCGGCTGAGGAGAGCCATCCACTCGGCCATGCAGCTGGCTACTTCTGCGTGTTTCTGCCTGCTCCAAGCACTTTCCAGTCAACACCATCACCGGCGCCGCGCTGGGCCACAGGCGACGATGCGGCTGTGAAACTCGACTATCCCTGCAAGATCTCCTTAGGAAGCCCTGCAGCTGGCTACCTGAGGAGTTCCGCGGACAGCTCCTCCTGTTGCACAAAGCCCACTCCGGAAGCAGTGTTGCACCCACAACCGGCAAGAACAAAGGCAATATCTCGTGGGCTCGGCAGCAAAAAAACAGATAATATCAGAGTTTTCATTTACTATACGACACCACACCTGATCAGAGCAACTTCGCTTGAGCGATTTTCGCGGCACCATGACAAACACCTGTGACGGGGCCACGGATCAAGCGGATCAATTCATGTGCGAGACCAGCGAGGGGGGGGGGGGGGGATGGATTGTCTCTAGCACGTCCAAGCCACACCAAGAAAGCTACCAAAAACCTGAGTTGGATCTTCATGCCTAACCGGCTTAACCTTCCTAACCTGCCTTGCACTGGAATGACCCTACGGGGCAACCCCCACGAAACCAACGTAGCAGAAGGCCTGCATGCTGTGCTGGGACTTGCAGGCTGCTAGAGCCAAGAAGCCAAGATGTCGGATGAAAGTCAAGCCTGCGTCGAGCCCATTTAGGATTTGGGTGGAATACTTCTCTGGAATAGGGAAGCACGCCCATGGCCCCAGCGCAGCGGGGAATCTGTTGGTATGCGCCTCTACAGACAACGACCCATCAACCAAATTACAACTGCCTGTAACTTCATGGCTTGCTCATGAGACGGCACCTCAGAGGCTCGAGCTTCAGCTGAGAAGTTCAAGCTTAGGAGTTAGGATAGAAGCGAAAGCAATTCTGCCGTTTGAAACTTGCCAGTTGCTCACACGACGCAACATCTGGAAGGGCGTCTGTACTCAGGCTTCACTACTTTAATGTTGCAAGCTGTTGAACAACTTTGGCTTTCTGCCTTGGAGCATAATTCGGCTACAACGAACCTTACACAGGAAGATTTTGCACTGTGGCTCGCGCACCGCTTCCAAAGAAGGGCGAATCCTTCTTTGTCCTCTTAAGACCAGAGCCAGAGCGCCGGAACACACAGCCCATTTTCCCCCATTGGCTTCTCCACTGTTAAACGTACAACTAGACTGCGATGGTGCATCACCGCTGTTGCTACGCAGGTATTCCCGCACTACGAGTTGCGAGTACATGCAATTTGCATCGGCCTGTCACGATGCATGTGTCACAACCAAGATGTTGCAGAGACGCTTGTATGGTCCAATACTGACAGTATCACTCAAGTTTGTTATTGTCTTCTTGGATGTGCTGCCAGGTTGAACGTAGACGAATTCTTGTCCCTTCTCCTCACAGTGGACGAACTTCAAATCAAGGCGTGCGGCTGGCAGTCCTTGCACGGGGATTTGGCCATTTGGCTAGATGAGTGCGCCCGAAAGCCGACAGCAAATTCGACAAGTACATGAGAAAGCAAGAATACCGTATGCGGCACCTGCTGAATGCTGCCAAAATGCCTGCGGCTGAAGCAGCAGCATAAGGCCTGGCAGAACCAGGCTAGACAATACGATAATAATGCGGTTCAGATTTGGGGTTTCGTAGGGTTCACGATCGTTCCACGGACCTTCAAAGGCACAGGCGCCGTAGCACGGCAAGGCTTGTTTGTCACTCATCGGATGCAGCCGTGTGTTTACATGCTGTGTGTCGTTTCGTTGTGCTTCACACAGACATGAATCTAAACGAGACAAAGGGCGTCGTCGTGCGCAAAGTCCAAATGTTCCACATACTCTTACCTACTGACGATAAGGGCGCAGTGCTACCGTGATGATGTAGATTCTCACAAAAGCCTTGTGCTTGCCTCGGACAGTCCTTTGCCTGGGCATCCCATGTTCAGTTCTGCCAAGGCAAAAGCGCTGACCATGACAGTGACAGCGATGAAAAGCCCTGGGGAAACTCTCTTGTCAGCCTGGCAGGCACCCGCGCTAAGCGGGACCGCTGATGCACCAGCCTCGATGTTTGTACGTGCAAGGATTGCTTAGAGGTTGAATTGTTTAGGCTTCGAGCGGTTCACGGTTTAGGGTTTCACGGGTACGGCTGTGGGTTTTTACGTTTTGAGGGGGTCAGGGTGCAGGGTCATCGTTGTGGAGGGACAGTAGGAGTTGCTGTATACTTTTGGCACCGCGTGCTGGGATTATTTGTAGGTTTTATTACCCTAAACCCCCAACCCTGTAACCCTCATTAAACCCAACACCAAATGCACCAAAACACCCTTGTATAGCCCTGTAAGGAAACCTTGAAGGATGCCAAAGCCCCACGAAGATCCAACTGATTTATGACGGCGCTCACCTGCAAGGATCTGCGACGAATTGAGGCCATCTGCAGCTGGTCCTGCAGAGGCCATGCATTCAGGGCTGTGGCGTCTATGTTGGTGCAAGACCCCAGGACATCTCCTGGCTTATCTGTGGAAGCGGCTCAAACAAGCGTTACACACCCAACAATATCACCGGCACCAGCACCACCAGCACCAGCACCAGCACCAGCACCAACACCCACCACCCACCACCCGCCACCCCACCATCACGACCGTCACCATCATCCACTGCCCCAACCCTCCCCCTACCGCTACTGCTGCTGCTACTGCTACTGCCTCACTACTGCTACAGCTACTGCTATGACGACGGCGACTGCTACGACAACAACAACTATTACTAGTACTGCTATCGTCTCGACGACGACTGCTACTATACAGTTACTACCGCCACTGCGTCTCCTTGCAATCTTAATTACTATCAGAAGCGAGGTAAAGCGCAACAATGCCCATATAGTATAGCTAACACTGTACGTACATGTAACACTCATATCATGATAACCATGCGAATTATGACTGTGAAGCCGCTGCCAAAAAAACAAACCGATGCACTATGACGTCCTGCATCTCACTCACTTCCCGAGTAGTCGTGGAGAGGGCACGGCTCCGATCGATCTGCGGCAGAGTCACTGAGTCATGCTTGAAGGGTTTTGGGGTTCAGGGTTTTAACCTTAGGCTGGGGGTTTGTTACTTCGGGCTGGGTTCGCGGTGCGCTTCATGTAACGGATGTTCGCTTAATAATATTTTAATCTAATATTATTAATAATATGAGTATGTTTAAGAGCAAACCAGAATTCAAAAGAATGCCACAGGTTCAGCAATATTATGATGTTGAGGATACATTCGGTGTTGCCAGTCGTGTTAGAAGAAATGAAAATGAGAGTTGAAGAGGTAGAAAATAGAGCTAAAAATATTGCCTTAAGAAATGATTGGGTCAAGCATCAAAAGAAGAGCTTATATCAGGGACAACTTGATGACATTAACAGACAGTTAGAGCGTCCGATGATGCATGTAAGAACAAAAGAGGAACTGATGAAGAAACAGCAAGAATTGAAAACTATAATGGCAAATTTAGTTTGATTTTACTTTAATT